AAAAAAAATTAAATAAATAAATTATGGATAATAACAAGAAAGTAAAAAAAAAAAAAATGAAAATGTACATAAATTTAAAATTGAGATTTCGTGTTAAGAAAAAAGGGGGCGGGGGAAGGGTAGAAGGATAGAACGGGAGAGGGAAGGGGAAAAAAGGAAACGCAAAAAAAATTTGAAATCGATAACAAGAGATTTAGTAGATAAACTTTTTTCTTTTTTTTTTTTCGAACGTCGTTATGAATTAAATTTGATGTAAATAATCATCGGGTGGTTACTTACGTTTCGTGTGAAAAATTAATTTTCTTATTATCATCATCATCATCATCATCATTATCATTATCATGACTATCATCCTTTGATCGTCGACTGTTATTATTATTATTTAATTCACGATATCATCGTCGTCGTCGTGCATTCACTCATAGTCGATTTTTCACTTAATTTATTTCTTTTTTTTTAAGACCTACGCCCACAATTATCATCATCATCTTTATCATCCTCATTATTATCATCATCATCATTATCATCATTATTATTATCGTCGATTTTTTCCCCCCCATAATAGTGCAATGTTCTTTTATTTACGACACTTTCAAATTTTCTTTTTATCCTTTTTTTTTTTTTTTTTTTAAAAGAAAATTTAAATAATTTTTCTACGCGATTAATTTTTGTCTCTTTTCTAAAACAATTTTAAAATGCATTTTTTTCCCCCTCCTCCCGCCTCCCTTCAAAATGAGCCAATAAAAATTCCGTTTTGGTTTATTATTATTATTATTATTATTATTAAAACCCGCCATAATTTTAACGACGTTTCCCCCCCTCCGTAAAAAAAAAAAAAAAAATGGGATGCATTCAATATATATATATATATATATATATCCTGTTTTAAAACCGTCAAAAAAAAATTCACTGAACTAATAATAATAATGATAATTTTTCATTCGATACTTCTTAAAATTTGATTTTTCCTTTCCTTTCCTTTCCTTTTTTCTTTCTTGTTTTCCTTTTTTTTCCATTTCCGAACCCGAAAAACGAAAAGTGCTTTAAATACCGAGGTTAATTAAAACGGTTCACTGAGTTCTTTTCCTTTCTACAACCGAAACCGATTATTACAAAGGAAAAGTTGAATAGAAAGGAACAAAAAAAGTGATAGAGAGAGAAAGAGATAGAGAAATAGAGAGAGAGAGAGAGAAAGAAAGTGGAGAAAACAAAAGTAAAATAAGACAAAAAAAAGAAATAAAAGACGGAAAATTTTTTTTTTTTGAAGGAAAAGTTTCATTTAAGTTCACATTTGGTTTTATTTCGGAAAAACAACAGATATTTGAAGAGTAAAAATTTTTATATGAGGAAAACATTTCAATATTCATTTTTCTTTTTTTTTTTTTTTATATTGGTATGTAGAGTGAATGAAAATTGTTTTTTGTTTATAAAACCTTAAAGGAAAATGAAATAATCGTCGTCGTCGTCGTCGTCTTTATTAATGACGTAGTGAATTTGAAACTTTACACAGTTTTGTAATTATTATTACTTTTAAATAACTTCCGTGACGTAATGAAAAAAAAAGGGGAGGTAAACAATCGCCATTTTGTTCTCTTTTTTTCCCCTCTTCTCTTCTCTTTTCTTTCGAATGCGTGCATTATAAAAAACACATAAAAAAGAAAAAGTTAACGATTCGTTATCATACAAAAAAAAAAAAAATTTAATTAAAAAAAAGTGAGTGGTAGAAGAAGAAAAGGAAGTTTAAGAAAAAGGTAAAAAAAAAAAAATACGTTAATGACGGATGTAATTGACGTGAGAAGGAGAAAAAAAATTTTTTCATTCGAATTTTCGGTTGCCTTTTTTTATTTTTTTCTCATTCGATTTAGTGACGCGATACGACGACGACGACAACGACGACAGTAATTTTTTTTTATATGTTTCGCTTATCTGAAAAAAAAAAAAAAAAAAAAAAATTGATTTTTTTTATATTGGAAAAATTTTTATTTTATCACAAAGATTTTTCGACTATATAATAAATATTCGAAAACTTTTTTTTTTTATCTTATCTTATTTTCATTCTTTCTTTCTACTACTACTACTACTACTACCTTTTTCTCCTCCATCAACTTTCTTTTTTTTACTACTATTATTATTATTAAAATCACGATAGATATATATTACCTCCTTTTTTTTTCAAAACAATTTAATATGAGAAACGTTTTAAATTTTTTTTTTTTTCGGTAACGGAAAATTTATTTATTAAAAAATTTTAATAATCTTTCGTTATATATTTACACACACGCACACGCATCCCCTCCCTCACTACCACGTTACAATTTTATTATTATTATTATTATTTGGAGTTATTTTTGTTTAAAAATGAAAAAAGAATTTTTTTCTTATTTTTATTTTTGACTCAGAACGCCTTAAAATTACTAATTAGGCAAATTTTTTTAAAAAGTACACATTTTTATAAGAAGTTCAGTAGGGAAAATTTTTTAAATTTTCGTTATAATTCATTATTATCGATGGTTTTTATCATGTTAGTGACTTAGATCAAGGGAAAAAATTTTGTTTGCTCGTTTTTACGAACAAACGTTACAAACGCACGCATATTTACACGCGTATTTTTTTTTTTTTTTACATTTCGTTAGGGGAATATTTTGGATTTACGCCATTTTTCTTTTCTTTTATTATTATTATTATTATTATTTTTTTTTTTTTATAAAATTTAAAAGATTTTGCAATAAAGCATCTGGTGCCGGTTTTTCTTTTTTTAATCCATATGGCAAATATCTTTTTTTTTTTTTTTTTTTTTTTTTTTTTAAAAAAAAAAAAACATTTAATTGAATAATTTATATTTATGGGCACGCGGCATTTTTTTCCCTTTCCTTTCCTTTCCTTTACTTTTTCCTTTTTTTCCTTTTTTTTATTCCTTTTCACGTAATGAATATATTATTTTAATAAGTCAGAAGAGACGATGGATGAAATAATAATAATAATAATAATAATTGAAAAAAATAAGAATAAGGAAAAAATTTTAAATGGAAAAATAAAAAAAAAAAATAAAATAAAAAAGAGTTTGAGGAGATAATGACGTCATTTTCTGGCATTGATAATTTTTTTCCTTGAGGGGACAAAAAAAATGAAAATCGTAACGATGGGAGAGTTAAAGAAAAAAAAAAAAAAGAACTGCAAAAAAAAAAAAAGGAAAACGAGAAGAATTTTAGTTACAAGTTTAGCTTATCCTAAGGAGGAAAAGAAAAAAAAGAAAATGGAGGGATCGAAATGCAGAAAAAGCAAAAAGAAAAAGTTTTTTTTTTTTTTTTTTTTTTTTGAAGATATTTAGAAGAAAATTTTCAATTCGCGCGAAATTAACTGAAAATGACTTAATAAAAATATGCAGATGAGTTTTGAGTGTTTTTCCTCTTTTTTTTTTTTTTTTAAATCGGAAACACCGGAAGAATCATTTCGAGTTGATAAAAAAAATATATATATATGTATACGAAACAAGATATGAGATTTTTCTTTTTTTTTTATCGTTTTTAAAGTTTTTATTTTTATTTTTTTTTATTTCCCCGATTTCATCTTCTTTTCCCCCTCTCCTCCTCGCCCCTCTCTCTCCCTGTCTTTCTCTTCCCGACGATTTTTTTTATAAGCAAACAAAAAAAAAAAAAAACAAAAACTTTCGTCATCAAATATTAATTTTTTTTTAATTATTTAACTAAGAAAAAATCTTTAAACTCATTTTAAAATATGCGTCCGTTAATGATTAAATCTTTTTTAAAAATTTTAATTTACCCCCTTTATCTTCCCCTCCCTCTATCTTTACTTCCCTCCCTTCTTCTTCCATAAAATTATTATTATTATTTTTCCGGATTTAGTTATGATGATAATAAGGCATAATTGAGTAGGAAAAACGGGCGAATGAGTGACCGACCGCCCACCTCAATTTTCGTTCTCATGTTATCGACCTAAGACAACTTCTCAGATCCTGGTTACTGCACTTTATTTACAACCGGAAATGACTCGCGTTTTTAAAACGGATATGATGGATTCGGGAAGATTCACAACAAGAAAGATTGATGCGGTCGTGTTCGTATGGGTTGTGTGTGGAGACAAATCCAACACCACCCAGACATTTTTATTCCTGAGGGATATCGAACCTGGGACAAATTTTAACAAAAAAATTCTCTCTCTCTCTCCGACTAACAAATGACGAATCATCCCGGATCGAAAAGTGATGATGATGATGATAATAATATCTCACGGAGATGAAGTGCGACGGAATTTAGCTCGGATTTTTTTTTTTTTTTTTTAATTTTTTGATTTCTCTCGGAAAACTTAATATTATGAATTTTTTTAATCGTGCTGGAACAATGTTCGTCTCCTGGAAAATTTATCCGTGTAAAGAACTAAGCAATTTTTTTATAAATAAAATAATAATAATAATAATTGGAAAAAAGATTTCGGTTTTAAATTTTTATTAACGATTACGTACAAATAAAAGAAAAAAATTAATAATAATAATAATAATAATAAATGAAATCAAATTTACTTTAAAGTTTAAATAAAAAATAACGTGGCATAAGAATAAGATAAGAAAGAGAGAAAGAGAGAGAGAGAGAAAGAAATTACGGATTATGATGGAACAATAAAAGATTTTTTTTTTTTTTATTCTTGTTTAGATCATCGGGATTTTATTTTATTTTTGTCATTTTATTTATTTCGCTGTTTCTCGTACTCTCGTATCGTCTGCTAATAAATCACATTTTCCACCATCCTCGTGTTCTATTATTATTATTATTATTATGTTTGTAAAGGTGTCGGAAAGTAATTTTTTTTTTCTCTCTCTCAATTCCGAAAAGAGGGAGAAACGAATTTGGGTAAGAAGGTCGTTCGGTTGTTTAACAAAAAAAAATCAGGCAAAGAAAACAGGAAAAGATATACGAAGAAAAAAAAAAATCAAAACTTTATTTACATGTATCATTTCCGCTTTTTAAAGATAACGAAAAAATATTCTAGAAAAAAAAAAGTAAAAAGTTTAAGTTAAAAGAAAAAAAAAGGGGAAAAGTTTTAAGAAAAAGATTTAAGTTGTTGGAATTTAAAACAAAACGGACATGTTTTTTTTTCTTACTTTACTCCTATTTGTTCATGTGCGTGTGCGTGTGCGTGTGCTCGTGTATTTTTTCCCTGACGTGAAACTAAAATGAATGCGTGTGATGATAGAAAAAGTTGGGAAAATGTTTGGAAAAATATAAAAAGAAAATTTTTTTTCGGTGTTTTTCCGTGCGAGATTTATGCTGGTAGATTAATGAACGAAAAGAAGAGAAAAGAAAAGAAAAAAAATGGTGGAGACGAGAAAACAAATTTCGATTGGTTTTTTTTTGAGGGAAAAAATAAATGGATGAAAATAAAAGGAAAATTTTTAAGGTTGTTTTAACTCAATAGAATAAAAAGGAAAGAATTTAGGGAAGAAGAAATGAAGGAGGCAGGGAGGGAGGAGGGGGAGGATTTGAAAGGAAAAGAAGAAAGAGAAAAAAAAAAAAGAAAACGTTTTTTTTTTTTTTTTTTTCGAAAATCTTCGAAAATGAAAAATAAATAAAAAAAAAAAAAAAAAGAAAAACCTTCGATGGAATTAAGCAGAAGAAAACTTTTATATAAAAAAAAAATCCTCCTCCATATTGACAAAAAAAAAACGTTAAACTTAAATAAAATAGCAGAAGAAAATAAAAAAAAAATAAAGAATTTAACGAAGAATAATTTATAACCGTTTTTTTTTATCAATGTCCAAGGTTAAATCGTTCATCCGAATTTCCTGTTTAAAAAAAAAAAAAAAAATTCCCATCGTGACGTCATCGTCACGCACTCGACAAACAAACAAATAATATTTTTATTATTATTATTATTAATTTAATTATATATATTTTTAAATCCGTTTTATTTATTTTCCCCCTTTCCCCAGTTACGGATTCGGTGTCCTTAAATTTTTTCTAAGGAACTCCCCACTCCCACCCATCTCTCCTCCTCTTTCCTCCTCCCCTCCGATAAAAAAAAGAAACAAAGAGAGTGAAATTTATCATTATTATTATTATTATATTATCGCTAATTACCTGCAGCGGCGGCCCATTAAATTTTCTTTCTTTATTTTTTTTTTTGAAATTAAATAATAATTTGTCTCATTAAATAAAATCGTTACGGTCACGTCCCCGTTTTTCGAATCAGTCGTGGGAATAGAAAAAAAAAATTTGTTTTTTTTCCGTAATTATAATTATTTATTGAAACGTTATCATTATTATTATTTTTTATAAAATATACAAAAAAAAATGTATGTATATCGTTTCGTTTGTTATCATCGAAAAAAAAAAAAAACGATTCGAGTGTGAAAAGGAAGAAAGAAAAAAAAAAGGCGTCGAATCCAACCTTTTAATAAAAATTTCAAATTCAATTATTAATAATAATAATAATATGAAAGAAAATTTTGATGGAAAAAAAAATATATTTATCGTATTGAAAAATAAAATTGAAAAACGTGGAAAAAGAAAAAAAAAGAAAAAGAAAATATTTGCTTGTATTTTTTTTATGTCGCGGTTGGGAAAAATGCATGAGAATGAACGTTTTATGGGCCCGTGAGAGTAAAACTACAACCACGACAAACATGCGGGTTTGCCACCCTAATTTTAGGGGTTGTTTGCAATCAAGGCAAAACTTCCGCTACTACTACACTCTAAACTCTTACCCTTAAGCAAAAAGTTCTCACGAGATATGAATCCCTTGATTTTCTTATAAAAAAAAAGAAAACAAAATAATAATGATGATGATGATGATGATGATGATAATGACGCGACGGAAAAAAAAAAAAAGTTTTTTTTTTCTCGGCAATATTTTTTGACAACCCTTAGTTTGTTTTGTAGTGCACCTGAGGCTGCGTTAACAATTTCTTTTGAACAAAATGCTTAAAACCAAATGGGAAATTGTAATGTTGGTAATATTTGTTTGTTTTTTTTTTTTTTTTTTTGGTTGTTGTTGTTGTTGTCGTCGTCGTCGTCGTCATCATCATCATTATCATTATCCCCTACTACAACCGCGTAAACTTTTTCCCATCCTTTCTTTTTTTATTTTTATTACCGTTAAGACCTTAGAAAAAAAAAAAAAAAAACTTTTTTTTTCTCTCTTTTTTCTTTTTCCGCACGATTCGCGGCGTAATTTCATTTGGGAAAAAAAAATAATAATAATAATAATTAAAATAAAAGATTCGCATTTGGTGCAAATGAAAGAAAGGATGATGCTGACGTCGGGAGATTTTAATGTCCTCAAACTATTACATTAACTGCTTTTTCTTTTTTTTTTTTCCTTCCTTCTTTTCTTCTTCTCCCACTTTCATCGTCATCTCTTTTCCCCCCGTTTTTTATGTCATTTTTTGAATCGTATTCATTATTCTCAGATGTTCAATTTTTTTTTTCTCTCCACCTTTTCCCGTCTCCCCTCTTGAATCCCCACCATAGTTTTTCTTCTATGTTTCCATCATACGCATCCTCTCTCCATCCTTATTATTATTTTTTTTTTTATTATTTGCTTCAGTTCCAGGACGTTTAATTCAAGTTTTAAGACGTTGAATGAGAGACAATTAGTCTCTCTCTCTCTCTCTCTCTCTCTCTTTCTCATAATATATATAATACGTAGCGGAAAGCGAAGGAGAAAAAAAAAAGGAAAAGAAAAAGAAATTTTCAAAAAAAGGACTACTTCCGACCCTTCGACTTCATCACCAAAACCCATAAATGTGATGAATTGTTATTGTTAAAAGGCTCTCCCCTACCGCCACCACCTTCAGACTTTTTTTTCTTTTTTTTTCTTATTCTAATTGTTTAACCTCAACTAACTCATTTGCTTAATGTTCTTTGACGTTATACGATTTGGTTTAATAAGGGAGGAAATAAAAGTGGATGGATAAGGGTAATAATTTTCAACAGTTCAAGACGTTTTACACC